CCAGATTCAAGAGAAAAAAGGTTCTTCCTTTCAACTAGCAAGAAAACGTCAGCGGAGAAGGTTACAATGACCATGAATTTGTAAAGGGATAGGTGGGAGAGAAGGAGAGGAAAGGGTGGCAAAACGCTCTTTACGGCATCGAATAGCTTTCTTTATTTTCTTGTGCGTGTGCTTGCAACGTTGCATTCCAGTATAAAACAGTGCCCATTTGGTACGTGCGACCTAGCGCATAACACCCATTGCCACGCGAGCTGTCAACACGACCGACGCGACACGAACAACTACACACCTGGCAGGCGGGAAACCAGAAAGAGAAAGAAATCGCTAGAAATAGCTGCGTCAAGCAGCGACGCGTTGCTTCGAGCAGCCAGACGTTGAATCAGACTACCCGCCTTGGGTCACGCCTTCGCCCGAAAACCTCACTTCGCCACTTGCTCTCCGCGATGCTCCGGTTCAACATTCCATACAGGCAATTCATTTTCTTTTTTTCACAGTTTTCTTTTTAGAATAGAACGGTGCGCAAACGGAATCGATAAAGAAATGTACACGAAACTAAAGCACGTGAACGTGTGTGCACCAGTAGAAGAGAGAGAGAGAGAAGAGGCACAATGAAAAGCAGGCAAAATATATATTTTAAAAACGGGGAAAATGAATCATAACGAATAGAATACGTATTGCACGTCGATGCCGATGTTGGTGACACCCTCAAGTCCGCGGGGGCAGCTCCCTCCATCGGCACGTCAAGGAGCACAACAGAACGAACGAAAGAAAGAAAAAACGCGAGAAAACACAAAAAAAACGAACCTATTCCCAACAACTCCGCCTGGGAAAGATCCTTTGCGCTCATCGATGGTGCCCAACGCACGGGCAACAGCACAGCGTACATATACATATTTTTCGTTTATCCTCATATGTGCCATTTCTGTCCAAACACGAAGGATATTACCCTTACTCCCCACAAAATGGTCCCTTCCATTACATCGCACAAAGGCTGTGGCCACGCAGGGTTGCGCTCAGCATCACCACGGCGTAACAGCAGAATAGCTTCCGCGGTCCATCGCATGGTTTCATAACCCGTAGACACGCGTTTCGGTGAGCCGAATCGAACATGTGAACTGCTGAAAGTCTCTCCAGCATATGCACGACCCAGACCTGTCCGCCAAGCCAATACGCCCGCAACCGGACCCGAGGACAAGCTGCAGGCCCTTGGCTTCCCCATTTAATGGGTACCTGACCCTGATACCACGTTGAGGTGGTCGGCATCATCAGGGACAATGCGCGTACTGCTCAAGAAACCAAGTAGCGCTCCGCGAAAGTGTCTCCCTCGAGCAACGAAAGGAAAAAAAAGAGAAAGAAAATGCATGAACCAACGCAATCTCCTCTACCAAAACGGTACGCAATCGTCTACAGGTCCCGTTTGCGCGCCAGTAGTGGTACAGAGACTGACAACAACACCGAAGCCTAAAAAAGCACAGCCGGATCAGCGCTGCCCTGGCGTTGGAGCGTGGAGACGACACTCAGCAATCAGTGTGCTGCCTCAACATGCGCGCAAAGACGCCCACAATCAGAGAGGCAGACGGCGGCAGAACAACAACCGCGTAGCGCATACCCCACGCTCCCTATCAGCTATCCGCTTTGGTCCGCAATGCATCCCGCAGCGCTTTCATGCGTGCTTCATCCTCCTGCTTCGCTCGTTCCATCAACTGTACCTTTCGCTTGTATCGAGCTTTGCCGTCAGTTACTTCCGCCAGCTCGCTTTCC